CCAAAATTAGTGTTTTGTGGTTTTTGGTTTCCATTTCTAAAAATCTGATATAATGCATATAGTTAGTTGGGACATGCACATTGCATGACAAGACAGACAGATTGAGAGAGAGAAGCAAAAACATCAACGCTATTGCCATTTTGCAACTACATTCTTGTTTTCATATTTTATAAATAACATTGCATGAGTTTTCAGAACTTGTTTCTTAACCTGACGGCTCTCTTATCCCAGAGATTCAGTCCCTTCCATGCCTCGCATGCTCTTATAGAGGTAAGTTCATGATTCTCAAAAATCGATCTGCAGATTTATTGACTATGTATATGATGATGTTCGGAACCTTAGATTATGATCAATGTATATGATGTTCTGCAGATTTAGGACTAAAGGAGGCGCATAAGAGATGAGGGCCAAAGCTGCTTCAGGGAAAGCCATAATAGTGCTGTGCCTTGCCAGCTTTCTTGCAGGCTCACTGTTCATGAGTCGAACTTTGAGTCGGTCTTACATGTCTGAAGAAGAGGATCACCATCTCGCAAAGCATGTGTCCAAACATTTAGAGTTTCAAAAGGACTGCGATGAACATAAACGCGTAAATATTCATACTCAACTTTAACATACTTTTAACACAAATACACTTGCACATATATATGGCTCATTAATCACAAGTGTTGTTCTTAATTTGGTCATCAGAAATTGATAGAAAGCAAATCCAGAGACATCATAGGAGAAGTATCGAAAACCCACCAAGCTGTAAAGTAATAAAAATCTCATTCTTTCTTGTTTTTCTACATGATTGAGACAGAGGAAGTAACACTAACAGTCTCTATATATAGATCATTGGAGAGAACAATGTCAACATTGGAGATGGAGTTAGCAGCAGCACGTACCAGCGAGAGAAGCAGTGAGTTCTGGAGCGAAAGGGTGGCGAAAAACCAGAGTCATCAGAAAGTGTTTGCAGTGATTGGCATCAACACAGCCTTCAGCAGCAAGAAAAGAAGGGACTCGGTGAGGCAGACATGGATGCCAACAGGCGAGAAGCTGAAGAAAATAGAGAAAGAGAAAGGGATTGTAGTAAGGTTGTGAAGTAAGCCACGAGTATGAATAGAGAGAAAGAAACACTCAGTTCAATACTACTCATCCAAAAGTCATAAAGCTAATCAGAGATCTTTTTGTTTTTCAGGTTTGTGATAGGACACAGTGCAACACCAGGAGGAGTATTAGATAAAGCCATTGATGAGGAAGATTCAGAACATAAAGATTTCTTGAGGCTAAAACACATTGAAGGTTATCACCAACTCTCGACCAAGACAAGACTCTACTTTTCAACAGCTGCTGCAATGTGGGACGCAGAGTTCTACGTGAAAGTAGACNATGATGTTCATGTCAATTTAGGTATGCTTGCTACAACACTTGCAAGATATCAATCAAGACCAAGGATTTACATTGGATGCATGAAGTCTGGTCCTGTTCTTTCACAAAAGTAAGCACAACTTTTTATTTTCTCAAGTTTATGATTTAAACAAAATCACAAAAATTTTGGGTTCTGAAACTATGGAATTCAATAACAGAGGAGTGAAGTACCACGAGCCAGAGTTTTGGAAATTCGGAGAAGAAGGTAACAAGTACTTTAGGCATGCAACTGGACAGATTTACGCAATCTCTAAAGACTTAGCTGCGTATATCTCCACTAACCAGTGAGTAAGAGTAGACTAGTTTCATTTTCAATTCATAACGTTATTCATAATCTAAGGTTCCGATTATAGAAGGTGCGGGTTGGAACGAAATTGAGGGACGGGCAGAATAATGTGAAATTCACACTACTCCGCCAATCCCTTAATTCCGCCATGTCCAACACCTTATCCGTTTGGAGCGAGGCCGTGCGAAATTGAGGGGTGAGCGGAATAGTGTTGGTAGTGTGAACTTCACATTATTCGGTCCGTCCTTAATTCCGCTCACCTTCGGAACCTAAATTTTCTAGAGTTTTTGGAAACGTTTGCAGGAATTGAGGGGCGGAGGGAATAGTGTGAATTTCATGCTATTCCGCCCGTCTCTCAATTCCACCTTGCCCCGCACGTCTCCATTGGTAGAATTAAGTTTTCTATTGGTTTTTAATTAAAAACGTTTCCTGCAGGGAAATACTGCACCGGTTCGCGAACGAGGATGTGTCGTTAGGAGCATGGTTGCTAGGACTAGAGGTAACGCATGCGGACGAGAGGTCGATGTGTTGCGGGACGCCACCGGATTGTCAGTGGAAAGCGCAGGCAGGGAACGTGTGTGCAGCGTCGTTCGATTGGTCATGCAGTGGGATTTGCAAGTCCGTTGATCGTATGCCACGTGTACACCGAGCTTGTGCGGAAGGAGACACTCCTCTCTCTAATTTTCGTTTCTTGTTCTGAGTTCTCATTTACTACTTTGCTTTATTTTTGCTACTGTTTTGGATTGAATCCCAATAAGAAAAGGGTATAATAATAAAAAGATCTTGGAGTTATATGACTAGTTGTTTTTGTTAGTGTGGAAAATTGGCTATGAGAGGTCGTTTTTTTATTTTGGTCTTTTGGACACTTGCTTGGTAAGTTGTGTTTTTGTTCTTGTTGATTGTAAGTCATGGATTTATAATTTCTTATAGCAAGAAATAAGATTCAATTTTTTACTGGTAGAATTTCCACGACACTAGAAACAAAAATGTCAATGTCACGGTGGAGATGAGAAACGGACCATAAGATTTATCAGCAGATTAGTTATAATTAATCAACTAATTTTTCTATGGGTAAACCTCCGGTGTGGTTATTGAGATCGACATGAATATTCGGTTCAGTTGTTATACTCGGTTACATTGTTTCCAAAATATCCGAGTTGCCAAATATATTATAGGATAGCTTTCAATCTTTGTGTATCTTTAATATATCTTCTCATTTTTTCAAACTAAATAAGCAAAAAGTAATATTGGAACTATAATTGTGCTGATTTAGAAAACCAAGCTAATGAAAACAAAGTGAAGCAAATTCTCATTTATTATATACTTAACCTAAATTGGAATAATCAAAATTTTACTAGGTAAAGATAAAATACATAAAATTGTTATAATTTCTCAAATTAACATAACTTGGGGAATAATGTTCTTTTATTTATTTAGGCTTTTTTAAATTATTGTTTTTTTGTGTGTTTTTTTGGGTGGTAGAATTTCCAGAATACAGTTGAAAGAAATTTGTGTCACAATCAGGATATGGATAGGATTTATAGCAGCTACGGCTACTTTATTAATTTATAATATAAAAAAGGAATCCCAAAGGAAGAGGAAAATATGGAGAAAAAATTAAAAGGCGTGCAGAAAAAGAAATCGAACCGCCTCGAATTCGGAACCGGTGGGACCCACATCTCTCCATTAAATCGTGAGTAAAATAAAGCATCTTCCCCCACAGAATCGGTCAAGCTTTTGGTCAACACCCACAAAAAAACCCTAATCCTGAAAAACTTTTGAGAGGGAAAATCTCTCCGCCAAAACGCCACCTAAAACCCCGCCTTCCTTCTCTCTCCAAATCTCCCATCTA